CCGTTGGTTGCCTTTTAGTTCTGTTGGTTGTTTCCTTCGCTGTGCAGAAGCTTTTTATCTTCATAAGGTCCCAGTAATTCATTTTTGCTTTTAATTCCCTTGCCTTTGGGGATGTGTCGAGTAAGAGATTGCTACAGCTGAGGTCAGAGAGGTCTTTTCCTGCTTTCTCCTCTAGTGTTTTGATGGTTTCCTGTCTCACATTCAGGTCCTTTATCCATTTTGAGCTTATTTTTGTGAATGGTGTGAGAAAGTGGTCTAGTTTCAACCTTCTGCATGTTGCTGTCCAGTTCTCCCAGCACCATTTGTTAAAGAGACTGTCTTTTTTCCATTGGATGTTCTTTCCTGCTTTGTCAAAGATAAGTTGGCCATACGTTTGTGGGTCTAGTTCTGGGGTTTCTATCCTATTCCACTGGTCTATGTGTCTGTTTTTGTGCCAGGTGAATGGTTTTTTAAAATGTATTGTTGGATTCAGTTTGCTAGCATTTTGTTGAGAATTTTTGCATCTATGTTTATCAAAGATATTGATTGGCCTGTAGTTCTCTTTATTATGGTGTCTTTATTTGGTTTTGGTATCAGAGTAATGCTGGCCCAAAAGAATGAAATTAGAAGTTTTCCTTCCTCTTCTATTTTTTGGAATAGTTTGAAAAAAATAGGTATTAATTCCTCTTTAAATGTTTGGTAGAATTCACCTGTGAAGTCATCTGGTCCTGACACTCTATTTGTTGGCATTTTTTATTGCTGATTCAATTTCTTTGCTGATAATTGGTTTGTTCAAATTTTCTATTTCTCCCTGTTTCAGTTTTCATAGATTATATGTTTCTAGGAATTTTTCCATTTCTTCTAGGTTGTCCAATTTGTTGGCATATAGTTTTTCATAATATTCTAATTGTTTGTATTTCTGTGGCGTTGGTTGTTATTTCCCTCTTTCGTTTGTAATATTATTTATTTGAATCCTTTCTCTTTTTTTCTTGATACTTCTGGCTAGAGGCTTAGCAATTTTATTAATTTTTTCAAA